GCCCGCTCGCCCCCGCCCGCCCACAGGCTACCTTTCTACCGCCGCCAACCGGGACAGCGAGTCCCACTGGGTTGCGTTTGGTTCCGGTTGCCGTTACGCTTCGTTCCCTCACGTTCGCTGCCCAGGGAACCATGCGTCATTTGTTTGTTTGGTGGACACGAAGTTTTTGCTGATATTATGGGCCTAAACAATTATTACAATTGGACTCGTGGCTCTTCTAATATTTCGTAGACTTGACGAGAAAAGAAGAAAATACAATCTTCTAGAAATTACACTGGAATATAGATGTATTATAATTTGAAGATATATTTTGGGTTTTGTTAGTAGGAAAAAAAACATTGTGCGCGAATGCTAGTACTTTTAGATTTTTTTAAAGGTTTTAAGGATGTCTTCAGTATGAGAGTTCGATAAATGTGTGCATGTGCATTTGAATGGAATCCTCGCGCTTTTGTTGGCTTATTTTAATACTATTTTGATTGCTGACACATACGACATCAGGAAGAGGGGAGCAGATCTGAACACTTTTTTTTTGAAGGAGTTTTCGCTCCGTTCAGGGGACAACGTATGAAATATTACTGCTACATATCCAGACGCGACCAAATCGTGCGTAAAATCAATACAAATCATTGATTTTAAAAATAAGAATAGTCCTGCTAATTTATGGTTCGAAGTGTTCAAAAGTGTCCTACTAAGGTGTACATTTGAACAGGCGTGGGGAAGTTTCGAAGAGGCTACTAATTTTATAGTTTTTGGATGATTTTAAGTATCATTGTAGCACTACAGATTCATATTAAGATATACAAAGCAAATGGTGGTTTAAATATGTGTAAGCTGCACACGTTACTTTAACCATCTTATCAAAGATGCCGACAGAAAATAGCTATCTTTTCAATCTTTCAGTTTATCCCGTTGGCGTTGGTTTAGGCAACTTTCGTTTACATCACTAAGACACTTTTGTGGTAGGAAAACAATTGACGACAGCAAGAACGTCTTTTGTGGCGTACGTTCTCCTACGTAGCGTCTCAGTTGGTTCACAGCTGACGTCACAACCTCTGACTCTAGAAACACCGCGTAGCAAAGCAAGCGGAGGCCAGTGTAATTCTGGGCTCCAAGTCAGTATGAGGTAAAAGAGCTTCTACTAAGAGAGGTGTCTGTATGAGTACACTTATTAGAAGTGAGAAGTGTCCTTTTAGTTGTACTGCATGAAAATAGTTTGAGAGCGCTCATTTCTCGATTCTTGAAAATTATATTTTTAAGTGATAATCGAAACATTTAATTCCAGTGAAAAGTGCAGAACAGATTTCATTTTTAGTTTCTTGGAGATTCCGTTATAAAGAATAGCGTATTGTGAGAGGCGTGAAAACCGAACAACTTACTCTAAAGTTGTTGATATAAAAGGAAAAAACATACAAAAAGTTAATAATTTGAGTGTTCATGGCAAAACAATCGGAAATGGTTATGTTGAATTAGCGATGGGAAAATTATTTTCCTGTCCTCTCCGGAATATAAAGCCACGAGTTACCAATGCTATTCCTAAATAAAATGTTAGATTAAGCTAATATTTGTTCATCACATTCATGTGAAGGTAATTATATTTAAATCCAGCACAATCGGCTGAAGCCGATTTCGACATAAAATAGATAAATTAAAAGTGCGGAAATTGCTGAAAGCTTGTTTCTAAAAGCAAATTTAACAAGATAAACAAGAATAAGTAAAAATGTACAGCAATTATCCAATTGGGGAATAAGTAGAAGTGAGCGAGGAATTAAGCATTGTGTAAAAAATCTAAAACGGATGCAAGTAGACAATGCGGGTACTCTTACGTAAATGCATGTACACTTTAATTTGAAATTTCAGTGACTTTTTAGACAATTTGAGTGTTTCTTCTGTTACAGGAAGAATATATTGCCCTGTCCCGCAATGAATTGTAAGTAATATTAAATTTCTTTTATTATAATTGAATTATGTAGAGTTCAAAATATACATTATAAACTGTTTCCCATTAGCCTTTTGAAATTCAACCATTTTTCAATCTATCAGTAATACATTATTACAATAAAATGAAATCAAATAATAATAATAGATTTGAAATTATTAAACAATATTAAATTACAAATGCGAATAAGATGAAAATTCAAATCTCTTTAAGTTTATCATATTTAGAGTGCATAATTTCACAAGTTTCAATTACCTAGGTTTAAAATATTAATGACACTTTCCTTCTAATCATCCCTTACTTTACAATCGTTTGAATATTATAGGCACTGTTATTATATACCGAATAAATTATATGTGACTATACATGATTTATGACAAAGGAAAGTGCAATGCAATGCATTAAATAATAGGCGTGTCGAGCAGTGTGTAAATGTCAGAGATTACAGATTTGACGTATGATCTTTATTGAAGTATGTGGAAAACGTCAAATTACGCGATGAGTTTTTTATAATGTATGATGTTCATGCATTATCACTGGCGCTCAGTTCTCTGAATTAAACAATTAAGATTGGTTTTGTGAGTGAGCTATGAAATAATCATATTGGCGGATACGAAATTTAGATGTGTTGAGTCGACGTACATGTATATATAAGTATATATATGTAAGTAATATATATCGATATATATATATATATATATATATATATATATATATATATATATATATCGTGAAATATCGTGATAATCGAAATATCGCGAATAAAATTGTAAAGGGTGTGAATTTTCTTGCATTAACTGAAGTAAGAATTGCCTGTTTCTTTGAACTAAATTATTTCCGAGAACCGTTACCTATATTTACATATATTACATATATTACACCCTGGGAGTCAAGCCTTCCATATATTAAGCTCTAAACGTCATTTACAGAGAACGGTTTAATTTTTCACATAAATGGACTACTGATTCAAATCCCATTAAGCCACATGTATGGATTTCCTTGTGAATGGCCAGATATCATTCTTCTTTGGTCGCTTGAGAAGGTTACAACGCCGGCGCGTTTTAAGTCGCTAAATCATTCTAACAACTACATACAAGCAGTCGTATGTGCCCTTATAATAAACAGTGTGAAATTATATGAAGCGCTGAGGGAGATAATTATTTTTCCCCAAATAATTTTCAATACCGAAACGATTCCTCGCTTGTCTTTACATCGATTTCGATGAGTTTGTATAGTCTACGTATTTTCCACGAGGGCACACAACACGCTGCACCTCGACTCTGAGCTATCGAACCATCCCCCTGAATTTGGCTGGCCGCGGGCAATATCTGCGATTGCACCGAGTTGTAGTATCGCAAAAAGGCATAAAAATGCGGCGCCGGACACTGCCTACCACATCCATATAGCGGGCGGGCGTGTTATGTAAAAAACCGCTGGCGGAGAGCACAGAGCCGCACGCAGCCGGGACACGCGGTTGGTGTGTTGCTGGTGGGGCCGCGCGCGCGTCACGTCCGCGGGCGAGGGCGGCGAGGGCGGCGAGGGCGGCGAGGGCGGCGAGGGCGGCGAGGGCGGCGAGGGCGGCGAGGGCGGCGGCAGTTGCATTGGTGGTTACTGAAATTGTGAGTGTAGCGTTGGCGGCATAGTGTCGGCAACTTCGTCGTCGTCAACGGCGGCTACTATGTCTGCACCGGGGGCTATTGGAAGCGGATGTAATATTAAGGGGATGATGGAAGTTATTTTGGTTGTGATGATGGCGCTTAACGCTGTGGAGATTGTAAGAACAGTAGTTGCGGCAGTGGTCACTGATATGGTGTGACAATGGTTGTGGAGGAGGTGATGGCGGTGCAGAGCGGCGAACAGGGTGGACGTGAGAAGTGAAGTGCGAGCGTTTGTGGAAGTGGGCGAGGGCGGGAGCACATCTGCGCCGTGAGGAGAGTAGCAGTGAGAAGAAAGAGGGTAAATATATTTTGTCATGTAATGTTGTACGTAAATATCTCCATTACGACTAGAATACGATAGAAAACCAGACAATTCTACATCGTAGACGAAAGAAATGAGGAGGATAGCAGACGCGATGGATGTGGCAGACACGTTGGAATGTAATTACACTAAAAGTATAATTTTCGGACGGCACTCATAACTACCAAAAGCACCTTTCAAATAGAAAAGTTGAACCTTTGAAAATATCCCGAACTAGGCGCATGAGTCTTTGTATCCCGCACCGTTTCGAATTCACCCCTCGGCGCATGGGGGTGGGGTACGGAGTGCGGCAAGGAGTGTGCCACGTGTGCGAGGCGCCCCAAGAGGCGAGTCCCTGCTCTTGCCTCCCGCCGCCGCCGCGCCTCGCCGCCCCTGGAAGTAAGGATCGGAGGAATCGCCGGCCACGCGGGTGTTGCATGTAGCGCCCCGAGGTGTCCCTCTTTGAGCGCGCGTGACCGACCGGCTGCTCGGGGGAACGCACCCAGCGCTGTGCTCAATAGTCGCTCCGCCCCGCCCCGCCCCCTCCGCCGATTG